GAAACAATTGCCTTGAAAACTGCAAGGACTCGTCCAAGCAGTCACTGCAGAGTTGGTAACGGCTGAGCGCAGATTAAAAAAAAAAAATAGCAGAAACCTCTCTGTCCAAGTTGCTAACCAATCCATTTCATTCTTGGCCAGCAAATTAAAGTGTTGTGTTTCCTCCTTCCATATCATTACCATTCAATTGCCAAGTTCAAAAGCAATGAGCATGAAACACCACTCTGAATAATGTATGATGTTAGAAATAGGGTATTTGATCACTCCGTCTTAGAATAGGTGGTAGGTAGTGAAGTTAGTAAAGAGAATTAATTTTCCAGCCAGCAGGTGGAATCAGCAGCTCTGGTATTACTGAGCTGGTGAGCAACCCACCCACATAAATAAAACACCACTGACCAGGTTTTTTTTCTCCCCTATTCCTTCTCACACCTCTGTATTTTTAAAGTCAAATCAATCAGCTGAAAACAAGTTTTGGTAGAGGAATTTGAACTTCTACTACCAGCACAGAGAATTGTTTCCCCTGAACTGCATGGAAATTTGGATTTTTGAACCAAGTGTGTATTCCCTTACCCTATTATTTGAGTAAGGTTATATTCATTCCTTCCCAAAGACAAAGAGTTACCGGCTGAATTACAGCTAGTTTTTCCTACAGCGGATAGGAAAAAGCTACTCATTAAGAAATACAGCCATGTTTGTGATCTAACTACTATAGTGCCATACTACATTATGCAGGACAAGCAGAAGGACTTGGACTGTTCATTGCTACTCATGCATTAGGCTCACTATGCAGGCCAATTATATTATCTAAGATAACACTTACCTGAGGGTAAAAATGAAGGTTGGCAAACCTTTATACATTGCTCTGTGCTCCTTGGCTGAGCATGTAATTAATATTTGTTAATATACCGCTTTACTTATTGTGCACTGAAGACCAAACAAGGTGATAATCAGGATGACCTGCTACTACACCACCTCTCTACTCTGGGATTCCTAGACCAGGCTGCATGGGAAGCAGTAACAACAACAATTTAATACTGGTATTCCCCAGAAGTTTACAGTGCAGTAGGAGCATGGCATAAGAAAGTAATGAACACACCATTTTACAAGGAAAATAATTTTTAATGTTAAGGATATGAGAGAAATGGCTAGGCTGCATCTGTCTGCAAAGTTGGGAAAATCATAATTTATTTTTCTATCTTAGCACCAACCTCCTCCTGCAAGTCAGCATACTGTACACAACAATTGAACCCAATACAAGATCTGCCTGGCCTCCAAATGTTAAAATGGTTAAAGTTTAAACTAAGTTATCCTCATTGAATTCTCTTTGGCTGAAATACTTAGTTCTAGAGATCTGAGCTTATTGGACAGATTGGAACATATTGTTGTTGTTTAGTCGTTAAGTCGTGTCCGACTCTTCGTGACCCCATGAACCATATTGCGCCAGGCCTTCCTGTCCTTCACTGCCTCCCTGAGTTTGCTCAGTTTCATGCTCATTGCTTCAGTGATGCTAT